AAGGTACAGGATAGTTCTAGAAACGTGGCGTGACACTAGTCATGTGACCTCGCTGACGCAACATTATCATAAATTTTATAGTAAGAATTGAAACTATATCATTGTTAAAGGGTACTTTTCTGTTGATATTTATTGAATTGTGTCATTGTTAAAGGGTTGTGTCATTTGTAATCGTTTTTATAGGGGTAAGATAAGGTTACGAGTAAAATTGATTGGTTTAAACTTTAAAATTAGGAACAGTTTGAAAAATAGAATGGGGATGGAAAAGTGTGGTATGCAAGTGTTCTGCGTACTACGTGTTTTCTATCAACTTGTATTGACAGAGAATTTTTAATACTACAACATACAATAATCCAAAACGAAACTACTGTTTAACAGTGAACGTGTTAGTTCTGGTTTTTAATCAGATTTTGATAAAAACAAATATTTTATTAATTAAACTTACACGGCATAAACACTACTAAACGGGGAATTATCAATATTTTTCGATCCGCGCAAAATATATATTAGAACTCAGAAGTGAAAACACGATTTTTATTATTAACTGCCCATACTTTTTCTTGACCTTTCCTCAAGCAATGTACACGTACGTGGCAAAATCAGATGCAATTCACCAATTCAGTCATAACTGACATCTCAAGTTAGGAAAAGTGAAGTGTTTTGTATCATGAAACATTCTAGTTATTTATCAACAAGTTCATTTTCCTATAAATTCTTTATCTTTTTAGTTATTCACGACAGCATTTTTTCCCCTGTCATACTCGACGTTTATGAATAAACTAGCTGATGTACCCATTCAATACACGGGGAAGACATAGAGAGCCATAATCTTTTTGCATGTCTTTCAGCATGAACCTCTGCTTAAATTATCTTAATCTTTGCTAAACTTTTTTAATTCTGTCTACCACACATCTCTTTTTTCCTTAGGAAGCCACGTTTTATTTATTGCACTGTTTCTGAACTATTTTTTAGTTTTATTCATAATTTATTTCATAGAAGGTGCTAGAAGAGTTCAATTGAAATGAAAAGCAGAGTTGGCTTGATGCTGTAAACATACCATCTTTTCATTCGAATATTAACCAATATCTCAAATCCCTGATTTGGTCTGTAATGGTACTGAAAGAGCTTGCTGTAAATATGATATTATATATATACATAAAAAATTAACATAAAATACCAACTCGACTGGAATTTGGACACCAGACTTCCACGCGAGAGTCAAGCTCTGCAACTACTGAGACACTTTCGTATTCAGTGTTTGAAATCCAATGTTAACAAATATTAATTTCAATGTTCGCGATTTCCCGGAAGAGTTTGGTCTACACATGATCACTTATTAAAAAAACAACAACATAATAGAAAAATCCGAACTGTACCGGTATTTGAGAGACTTCTGCTTGAGGTTAGAGCGCTCTAACCAGTGAAGCAGTTTAAGTGTTACCAACATATAGTGGCTTATATATATATATTCCACGAATCTTCCTTATCCCATCGATACACAGAGTATGTTGTGTTAAAACAATTTTGAATAAGCAAATCACATGATAACCATATAGAATATAAAATGTCCATGGTAAAGCATGCATTACAACTACATTTTGATATTAATTAGCGTTTCGTAGGTAGTGTGATTTGAATCCACTGAAAATTGATCACTTAGAGAAAGGTTACGTAAGTAACAGCCTATTCCGACGCAAAATATTCATAGACTGAGGTTAGAAGATGTCATTGAGGATTTGCCATTTCTAAGATGGGGATATCCCCTTTACTTAATGGCACTAAAAGACAAAGGAATGTAGAATAACTTGAGGACCATCCAGAAATAAATTTACAACAAGTAATACCAAAGTTGTCATAAGTCTTGCAACGGATGAGAATCCATGAACGCAAAGTATCAAAAGCGGTCAACATGCTCCAGGCAACATGTACACAAGTTGCTTCAAGACATATTCGTCCAATAGTTGCATATCTCAAGCAGCTGGAAAATGAAATGGATATTCATGCTATTCCATATGATGCATTACCGATACCAAAATCTTCGTATACTAGATAGATTATTGAAAGCAATAGGGAGAAAGCCGTGCTTTGTGCATGACAGCCATACGATGGTGCATTTTGCAAGGAAACTATGCTGCATAGCTATCGTCAAGAGCATGAATTTTAACGACATGATGAAGCTCCAAATCGTTTTAATATTACATACTCAACTTTCTTAGAGTCGCTCTGTGAGGGTACAGTAAATTAAAAAAGCTATATATTAGATATGTTCTTAGAGATACGAATATATTCATTTAGTAAAGTTTTGAGAATTTCACCCAATAACTACAAGATCAAGAATGAAAGATAAAGATTCTGGTACTCAAGGTGCAAGTTAATTTAAATGTAGATTTCAGCATTTACTATCGACTAAATATTTTCCTGTATGCCCAAGAGACTTGGACACTAACCAAAGAACTCTGGAATAAAATAGAAGCGTTGTAAATGTGGGTGCTTAGAAGAATGTTGAAAATATCATATACAGAGTATAAAACAAACGAGGAAATGACCAAAACAAAGCGTACATTAAAAGCCAGAATTTTGGACACATTATCAAAATAAATAAGATTCAAAAAACTTTGATAGAGGTCAAGGTGGAAGCCTGTATAGAAGTCGACCGCGGAGAAAATGGGTGACAGAGTGCTTGTATGAGGAAGGCACAGGACAGACGGGCATGCCGAGCGTTAACAGCTAATCTCCTGGGTGGCGCAGGTACAAGCAGATGATGAATTATTTGTGGCAATTTTATACTTCAATGAATTAATGGTCACAAACAATCATGTTTCTAATATATATATATATATATATATATATATATATCTGTAGTACGATAGTTCTACCTTACCGTAACGGTAATTACTACGAAACGTAAACGTTTAGTTAAGTTTAAACTTTACCGTCCTACGAGTACTCC